CGTCTGTCTTTTAAAAAAAGTTCACGAAAAAATTTGTTTACAAATTCACACCAAAAACATTTTTTTTTAATTTTCCACCTTTTTAATGATTTATGAATATCCAGATCACTTTTGATAGCTAAGCAATACATAGTTTATGTTATATAAAGTAACAAATCAATAGAAAACTGGTTTACAAGACTTTAAAATACAATCATAATTTGTGGAAATTTTCAAAATTAAATCAATCATAAGTTTAAAAGTAAATCTCTTTAAATCTGTCATTCATATGATCATTAAAATGAAATGGTGTGTTGCATTCATTTTTGTGTAATTAACAAATAATTATAATGAGTGCTTATAAAGAAAGGCTTTATTATTTAACGGTAAATAAATAATTTGAAATTTTGCCGTTAAAAGTTGCACTACAAAAACAATAACTCTAGTATAATTAATAATTTGTTGCAATGAATTTCCATATAGCAAAAGTTTATCATTCAACGGTTTTTTGAAATTAAAATTTTACAACGTCTAGAAAAAATTTGAAATTATTGATGTAAAATAAAATTTAAGCAGGTTACACTGAAAACAAAATTAAAATTCATTAATTATAGTATTTACACACTGTTTTAAGACTTTTAACTGTTCGATCGGACAATAAACAATAGTAAAACAAACCTGAGCTCTCTACGATGTCTGGTTAAAAAGTTTTTCTTCAGACGAACGAACGAACGAACATTTCGTATTATTAAGTATACAAATTATTAAGTATATTATTATACAAGTATACAAAAATGCTATTTAGCTGTACAGTATTTTGATGTTTAAGAAAAAAAAAATACAAAAGAAATTTAACTGTCTTTTTAGATTTAAAAGAAATATTGTAATTTTTTGATATTTGTGTTTTGGCGCCAAAATTTTTCTATAAATTGAGAGAAATTTCAGGGAAAGATTCATTATTAAACCTAAAAAAGTAATCAGTAAACGCGAAAATGAAAAAGTCGTTTTTTTGCGTAACGTAATAAGTGAACGGCCCCTTACATGTATTTAATATCTTAGTTATTGAAAATTGAAAGCTAAGAGCACAGAAACAGAGCTCAAAGTCGATGAAATTTTGTATGGAGTCAAGTCGACTCGCCATACAAAATCGCTGAAAATTTTGAATCTATTCGAGCTCAGCAAAAATTCTTACAAAAATTATTTAAAATACAAAATAAGATCAAGAGCAAGAAGCTGCAAGAAGTCAAAAATTTCCAGTCAATCACAACTTTCCAATTCCTAAGCAATAAAATAGAAATAAGAAACTAGTGTATCGGGTAGAAACCCAATGCGGATATATTCACACCGTACCATCAAAAGTCTTATGGATAGACCAAGATTTGCTCAGCATAAGTTTGAAGGGTGGGTGTGAAGTACGGCCGAGACCCATATCGACACAGTTCAAAAGTTTTATCTAATTTATGTCATAACTATGTCAGCTACAAAAACACTTAGTTTGAATTTTGTCACCCTCGGGAACACTATGAACCAGTATAGCTGATTTTGGTCCAAATCTCGGCCATACTTCACACTTATTTGAACCACATTTTCTCGTAAATGTTAAAATATTATTAAAAAGTAATTAATCCTGAATAATGTCGCTATTTTGTCAAGTGTTTTAAGACAAAAAAAAGGTAATATTGGTATGTGATTTATGTCAGAATTATGTCAATTCAAAAAAAACATCATAAAATTTTTTTGACAAAAGTACACCATAGAAAATCAATTTTCAATATTGGACTAGGGGCGACCCTAGTCAAAATCAATTTTGTCACTTTTTTTTCGAGGGTTCATCCAAATGGATTGAAACTTTGCATAAATATTCTAGTGCTCAAAAACAATACAAATAAAACATCCTTAAATGTTTTTGAGCAAAGAACCAAGTAGGAAATACATTTTCAATTTTGAACTAGGGGCGACCCTAGTCAAAATCAATTTTGTCACTTTTTTCTTCGAGGGTTTATCCAAATATACATTCAAAAACAACGTGACTTAAAATTTTGTCCAAAAAAATGATGTTTATTAATTCAGAAATGTGTGACCTGAAAATTAGAATGCTCACACAAAGTTTTACTGTATTTGGATTTATCCTCGAAGAAAAAAAAGTGAAAAACTAGATTTTGTCAATTTGGGACTTGACCTGTCCCAAGTTCATAATTGAAAATGTATTTCCTACTTGGTTCTTTGCTCAAAAAAATTTTTTTCATCCAAAGTTTAATTTAAAATAAAAAAAAAATCACAGTGAACTTTTAATTTGAAAAATTCGTAAGAAAGGAAAGTTTTTTGCTTTTTCTGAAGCAACGGCTGTTCCTACCTTGCCCAAAAACAATACAGCTCTTCTAGAGAGCAGCACGGATCAAATGTAAAAAACTAGAAGTCTCTACAATGTCTCGTTATTGAGATTTCTTGCTGATTAACTTGCTTGTTTGCTTGCTTACAGAAAGCAAATTTTGCGTTTTTCTCAGCAATGCGGCAACCGATTTGAAATCTGTTTTTTGCAAAAGATGTGAAATTCAAGGCACAAACTTTTCATCTCTGAACATTTTAAGCTCTCTTGCTCCATATCCTCACAAAATTCAAAAAAACTGATTTTTCAATCTGAACAAAACCAATAGATTCACACGTGAAAACGGTGTGAATATGGTGAATATAAAAAATTCAAAAACTTTAAATCCTCATTTTTTAAATTTTTTTTTAAATCAATAAAAAGTGAAATAAAAGACTTCATGACTGTCGTAAAATTTCACTTCCCCCTTAAATAATCTGTTATGTCACGACTTAAAACATATTGCTACCCATTTAAAGTGAACGAGAGCATGAAAAATTTTACAAGCATTTTTTTTTCAAAGAATTTTAAACGCATTGAAATTGATGTGAGCACTGAATTGAGGATGGAATTCTCCCTCGCATATCCCTTTTTGTAATGCACACATTTACAGAGCATTTTCCTCTCTTTTTATTTCGCCATTCTGCTTTAGTGCCTTAAATGAAAAGAAGCAGACAAGAAAGAAAGGAACAAGAAATTGCCTAAGATGGATCACATTCTATAGTTCATAGGATGAGGAATTCAGGGATTTCAGGCAAGTTGGAAAGTTTCTTCAATTTACTAGGATTCAAAAAAAACAGAGGTCGAAGCCGACATGAGTTCGCTCCGGTTCGCTAAAAAACCGATCCGATAACCGGTAAATTTGTATAGAATGTTATACTTCACAAGTGACAGCAGAAAAAATTCTATTCAAATTTGAATCGGTTTTTTAGCGAACCGGAGCGAACTTATGTCGGCTTTGACCTCTGAAAAAAAATCTTAAAACCCTCCTAAACTCCCTGGTTCATCCAGTAAGAATTGAACCTCCACCCCATTCAAAAAATACCTAGCTACACCCCTGGAAGGAATAAAATCTCATGTTATTATTTACCATGAAAAGATCTCCATGAATTTTTCCACTCATCCTCCATCAATTTCCTATAAATTCTTAAAAATGCCCCACAGAGTTGAACAATGGAAGAATCTTACGATTATATCTATATACAATACAGCACTAAGGCATTGAAAGAAAAAAAATTATTTTTTTGAGGGGAGGAAGAAGCAAAATGATTACAAGATGAACGATTTCTTTATCTTAAACTTCCCCCATAGCTTGTATTAAATCTCATTTGTAAAGCTTGACGTATTTTAAGGAATTCTTTTTTTTTTTGTCCATCAATTCAATTCATTACACAATGACATGTCCATCAAGGCAGAAAGAGATTCATAAAAAATATTTTCCATACAGTTTACATTCCATGCTTTACGACCCTCTGATCTGTTTATGGCTTAGGGGTTTCACTTGATTCCGGGAGACTTTTTGATCACTTTGCTTGTAATTTGGATTGCCATTTATGACGTGGATTAAAAATTAAACTTTAGGTTGGCTTGCCTCTGATGCCATAAGTGACTTACTAGAGGATTGCATTTTGGAGATCAATTAAGATACTGAGTTGTTTAACAAGCAATAAATTGATCATGCAGAATTGCATAAGCTTAGGCGCTTGCATAGAATTTTGCAGTGCTTAAAGGATTAATTAATTTTAGTGTCTTAAAAAAGATATGGATGCTTGGCTCTTTGCTTGTTTTTTATGAATTTAGTGCCTTTTCAGAACATCCAATCATTATCTCTAAATGGATGCAGGTAATTCTACTAATATAGGTATTTAAGTACTTACAAAGGTTTGATTGATAATTTTGAGAATGTTGATCAACTCTGCACCCTTGGCATTCGGTTAACATCTAAACGCATCACCAAATGTCTTTAAAAAAAGCGTTCGACTGCTGACTCTCGACCTGGATCACACAACTTTGAACACTATGTTGCTAAATAATAATAATAATAATAATAATGTGTGAAGGGCCCAGCCTTTCAGCTGGAGGCACTGTGATTCAATTTGTAAAGAATCTATTGTACCACACCCTTTAGACCTACAGTTTATAGTGGGATCCGAACCACTTGCAAGCTCTGCACATTGCAAAGACACTAGTACGTCATAAGACCTGCAATGAATCTAGCCACAATTCGTGTGCGCAAGATGCCGTAAAGAAGTCATCCAGATGCTAGTATATCCCTGTATCCCTAGCAAAGGAGGCATATTCATATCACTGATACCATTTCATAGACATTATGTTGCTTACTTTAAAGGGAAAACATCTTAGAGACGTAAAGATATCAGCGACGTGAAGATGCCTTGAAAGTTTCACTAAAAGCTAACACTTGCTTATTAAAAATCTTAAAAATTCACTACCGACTGTAACCTCTAAATTCAGTTCCATTCTCTCTTACCATTTGGCTCAAATTCATTAAATACATTGAATAACATAAATGAACAATGCGTAACAAAACTTAATTATCACGCTCAATTACAAACGGTGTTGACAATTTTTCATTTCTATTTCTTCTTCCTTTATTATTTAAAATTGCATAAAAATGTCAAATTAAATTTGAAGCGTAAAAAAATTCTCAGCACCTGCAAATAGAAATAAAACAAGTCAGTTCCTTTATCATTAGATCATTCCTTTTGCTTTTATTGCATTAATCACGAGCATGATATGAATTGTCAACAACCATCTGACAATCAAGATGACAAGAGATCGAATTGGTGCCAGTTTCACCCTTCTGTTTGTGTATGTGTCGCAGATCCAGTAGAATATTTCAATAGCTATGATAAATCCATAAACAGCAATCCAGGGAAGAATGTGACTAGTGCGGAGCTTAATTAATCCGTAAATTAAGCCAAAAAATAGTTTTATATTTAATGATAATCCACAGATTCTTGCACGACGACGTTGCCTTACACCTATAAATTCATAGCTTCGTTGACCAAATGTCATAGGTTCGTAGTTTTCATCATTGAATATTATGATCATCTCCTTACATGCTTCAAATATTCCAATTAGTCCAAGAATCAAAGTTATCCAATAAATGACAATAAATGTATCCGAGCAACTTAATGTGTCATGGCAATTGAAGAACAAATCCATTATTTTGCCTTTAAACGGGATCCTCCATACGTTGACGTTACTTTTGAATTTTGAGCAAATATTGAAGTAGAGATTGACGTGTGAACAGGCATACTCGTGCAGGTCTTCTAATTTGAACATTTTTTTCAGAATATTTTTATTTTGTACAACTTTTTCATTCCAATGTTTACTGAAATTATTTCATTTTGATGATGATTTGATTAAGATTTGATGTCATCCTAGAATCCATAACATATTAAGTAATATGTACGCTAATATGCCAAAAGTATGTAAGAATTCTACGACCGACTATTTAAATATCGAAAGAAATCTAAAACCTTTTCATCTAAGGACGTGAGTTCTAATCCCACCAGATTCCAATCACAAAATCAATGCATAGAGTCATCCTCGTTTGTTCCCAGAAGGCATTAGAACATAAAGAATAAAGCAATTGCAAAAGATATAAAAAATAATTTTCATTGAACACTAGCGATGAAGCAACATCGGTTTATTTGTAAGCATGCAGAGATAGATAGAGAGAAAAAAAATCCATTAAATCGCATCGCCTATAGACTACAAACATCAATATCCCGAGTGCAAACAAAACAGCATAAAAACATCGAATGAAGTCGTAGAGAGCAAAAAAACATAAATTTCATGTGAATTTTGCTTTTTCGTGATCGTCTTCCTTATTTGATGTAAACAACCATTAAGCAGTCGTCTCTTCGGGGCTATGTGATGTGATACAAAATGACTGTATGGATCACAAAGTATTGGAAAGAAGAAAAAAAAATACTAGTCAAAATGAGAAAGTTCTTTACACATAGCATCGCACAGAGCACAAAATGTAAATAAACAATAAAGAATATATACTGAATGTGAGGGTAAAGTTGGCTTGGGAAGTGGGTGACTCTTGTTTTGCAATAGTTTTTTGTACTCCCTATAAAATATCAATTTTTTTTTTTCTCAGACCAAATCCGAAAAAGATATTTTTGCTTAGCTTTGTTGACGTTTGCACTGTATAAATAAATAAAATCTCTGTCTCATGAATCGTATTTTCATGCTGTATATCTGTATGCTCATTTTTATATAAACAACACAGAACCACCGCTTTTATATGTTTTTTGATTCTTACAAAAGCAAATCTCTTATTGACATAATGGATATCGTCTATTTGTTTCGAACCACAATAAGCTGTCATTGCTCTTTTAGTGCTGTTGTCATCATTGTCATCATGGGAAATTTGAGGAAATTAAAATGTGAAAAAAAAATTGTTCAAGATGTTCAACCGTCATCTGAAATTTGAATTTTTAACTGTCTATTTTAATTTGAATTTTCAACGATAATCTAAAATTTAAATTTAAATTAAACAGCCGTTAAAATCTCAAAAGCTTCAACAATCTTTTCAGCATGTAATCCAAAAAAAGAGAATCTCCATCCATTTTTCTGGTGCGACAGAATCAAAAAATTTGCATTTACATGAAAGAGGAACTTTTTAAGGCTTTTTATTTATTTATTATTCAACCTCTTTGTTATCATCATCTGTGCGCCATTTCGAAGGAAGTAAAGAATCTCATTTGCATAGATCCAATGCAAAAAAGGATCCCCTTTTTCGACCTCAATTGGTTTTCATTGGTAAACAGCTTGTTTTCTTATGCAAATGTCATTCACTTGAGAAATTTTCTATTTAGCATATAAAAGGCAGCACATCGGGGACAATTTCGGAGTGGATGGAAAATTTGAATTGCAAATTTCTGTTCCTTCCTTTAAAAAAAATTTAACTTATGATTCCTTTTTTGTGTTAAAAGTTATCACGAGATTTTCTTATTAAGGATGAAAGTTTTATGAAAATTAAGTGGGTGTTCTCACTTGTCGTCATTTGCCTTCCCTTATAGTGCACTATGATGAATGTGCGAATGATTGCAAAATCACTAAAAATCAATTAATCATTTATTTTACAGTTGCATAAAAAGAGGGTTTCCAGCTCATTGCACAATATCATTTTGATGCCAAACTATGCAGCACAAAAGGGGTTAAAAAAATTACAAATCGTTCATTAATCGAAATTTAATTTAATGTATGTGTTAAATGATTTATAGCTAGTGATAGATTAGTGGGTATGTGCTGAATTGGAAATAGTGATAAAGGAACTTAAAAGATTTTTGTTTGAAACTTTCCAGGATATTTGAGATAAAATATATATATATATATATATATATATATATATATATATATATATATATATATATATATATATACAAGAAATACAAACAACATCTCTACAACTATCGTGAAAATTAATATTCCTCACCACGCTATGATATGAAATACAAAAATCAACAGCACAAAAGCCGTTAAAAGTTTTTCAAATTTTCAATAGCATGAAGTTGGCAACAAATGATTTTGAATTCAACTATTTTCCGTTAATTACTGAACGAAATTTCACTTCTTCATTCCATTATACTTTCTTTTGTCTCTTTTTCAATCAATTGAATTTTTAAAAATCATACGGGTGGTCCAAACTTACATTTCATAATTAAATGCCAAAAAGAATGAAAGGAAAATATTTTTTAATTAATGAGAAATTTCAACTCTTTATTAATTGCGTGTATTTTTAATTAATGAATTTTTCTCCACCTATGGCATCCTATCAGAAATGTCATTGTTAATGCCAATAAAGAAATTATCTCTTTTGTGAATAAAATTAATCAATGTATTGACACAAAAGGAAATCGTGTTCGTGTGTGTTAAATAATAATGTGTTTTTGTGTCAATTTAAATTGTAATTAAATGAAAAATTTCGTTTGCGGCTGTTGATAATTGAACATTGCGTTTTAAATGCCGTTCATTCAAGTTTCCAGTGATTTTTAGAATAAATAAGTGGCTCTGAACAATTGTTATGATTTCTTTTCAATTTTAATCTTCCCTTTATTAATATTAAGAGCTCTATTCTTTGGAGGATGTTGCCAAATGTGAGAATCACTTTGACTACCATTTTCGTTACGTTAAGTTCGAAAGTTAAGTTCAATTTTTGAACCAAGCAAATAAAAATGTTCCAAAAATTTTAAAATCGATAACTCAAGTTCTGCAAAAAGTCGTTATTTTTGTTTGTTTTTTTAAATCAAAGTTCAATTTTTGAACTTTTACTGAAAGAAATGATTCAAAATTTTTAAAATCCGTTCCATTTTGAAGTTTCTTGCTTTTGAAGTTTTTTTTTTGAAATTTTTGGGAGCAAAATTAAATTTTTGAACTTTAGCATAAAATTGATTCAAAAATTCAAAACCGTTATATTTTTGGATGTAATATTAGCTTTAATTATAAAGTGATTTATTTTTTCTCAAAATTCTAACGTAAATGCGCTTTAAATAAAGTAACTCTCATAAATAAAACCCATATTAAACTTAAAAAAAATTACTTAAAATTCAATGACATCAACATCAATGTTTAAAATAAAATAAAGCACAAAAGGATAAATGGATGAAAAAACATATCATTGCATTTATAAGTACAATTGAGATTATACAACCGAATTACGAAAATAATAAACAAAGAAGGGGTTGCGATGGAATTGAAGGGCTAATGATGGTTTAAACAGACATTAAAAAATTCATCTATGCTTGAATGACATCTCAAGTGATCCAAGCTCAGTTCTGCAACTGCCAAACTTTTATTTTGTTTACATCATCATCAGTCAGCCACAGCCAATAATAAAAATTTTAATAATTTTCCACTCAAAAAATTCCAACCCGAAAAAAAATCCAACTCAACATGCCAAATGATTTTGTATTGAGGCTTGTATGAAGCTGAACAGTCAAGTGAAAATGCCTTTCAGGCCAACTCAACAAAACCAACAAACCGAGATCTCTACTATGGGGGAAGAGGGGCTTGATAGTTGAGCATGTATAATATTCATTCAAATATAAACATTCCATCCAAAAAGTTCAGTCAAGTGGAAAGCAAAAAAATTTAATTTCGGACCGTAAAAAAATCAGTCAAATGAAAATTGAGTATAAAAAGTTATTGTATTTAATAAGAACATGATTTTTTATTATTTTTATGAGGCACTCAACATAACATAGATAATGCAATGATTTTTTTTTTATTTTATCATCGTGAGACGATCGGAAATTGATACTTCTCGTGCTTTACTACCTGCTGATTCACGTATAAAACTGCAAAAATAAAAATCTGATAACAAAAGGAACAAAATGTGTGAGATTGATCCTTAAACTATACACATATAACACATTCAAATATAAAATGAATGTAAATAAATAGGGTGGCGATACAGAATGACTGACTGAGAGGGCTTGAGTTGTCATATTTCTATTTTTTTTTCTTCTTTTTCTCTCTTTTATGTTTTATTTACCATCCTAGCACATGTCCGGTGTCTGATGCCCCTTTTTGTAGAGCAGCATCGCAAAATGTTTAAGGAGGGAAAGTTTTTATGTTCAATTGGGATAAAAGCGCATTTTTCCAACATTGACTTGAGACTCTATGGGTGTCTCTCTTGATACAAGACTGACACTATGATGACCATAGTTCGAAACCTAACAGGACCATTTTAAAAAGAGTTAAAAAAAGCTACAAGAAGATGAAATTGTCAGGGGTCATTCACTGACGTCCAATATTAACGGTCATTTTTCAAAAAAGAACAATGGAATTTCAGGAATTTCTTTTCTTGCTGACCCCCCCCCCCCCCCCCTGAACGTCATAAGTGAACTATCTTTAAAAGATTCTTTTTAGTCAAAAGTGTGGAAATGATCAAAATAAATAAAACTGATTGAAAATCGGTAGATCAGGTCCGAACCTTGATTAATAGACCTTTGAGGATTCATAAAACTCACTCAACTTACGTTATAAATCATGTTTGAGAATAAATAAGGACAACTCGACAAAAGTCAATCAAAACACCCCAAAAATCCAGCTCCCAAAGACATCAAACACAGAAACATGCAAAAATCAATTGAATGAAAACTTTTTTTTTCTCATTTCTATCGGCAGTCAAAAGAAGGCAACGAGATTGTTTCGTTTCTTTATAAACATCCGCTGGGTTAAAAGGGATCAACAAAAATATTTGAACGATTGATATAAATACAGTCACGTGCTGGTGCTTAATGCCTGAAAATAGATTTTAATCTCCATCAGATATGAAAATGATGAACTAATTTCATGGCAGCACCAAAAAAAATTGTTTAAATATTGGAAGTTGTTAGTGCGTAAAGTTGCTTGCTATTTTCCACTTGACTCATCAAACTGTTTCGATCTTTTTTATTTCGATTTGGTGAGAAAATATTTTTATTTTTTTTATTGGAAGTACTATGACAGTTTTATGAGAATATTACATTCACGACTGGATTATTAAACGTTGGTGCGCCTTGGCTGTATTTATTTCCTTTTAAATTCACAGTTTTTAAATTCTCGAGGTCGTCAAATGCATCAGGTGAGAAGCTTCCAATTTCAGATCCCGTTATTGACAATTCCTCCAAATTCTTTGCAGAACTAAATGCTTTAGCTGATATCTTTGCGATTTTAGTGTCTGTGATCTCAATTTTTTTCAGGTCAGTTGCTGACTTAAAGTCGTCACTGTTGATACTTTTAAGTGTACTGTAATGAACCCTAATCCATCTTATTGGTCCAAAATTTTTATAAATCACTGCTGGAATATGATCAAAGTTACATGCTGCAAATTGAACTGCAGTAACTGATGAACTTTGCAGATATTGACCTTGAAACATAGTTGGAATAACCTTAACTCTTGATACATCTTTATCAGCTGCTGATTGATTTACAAACTGACAAAAAGTTAATGCCTGCATTCTTGCAACTTGTGGTGTGCATTCAAATGCTTCTTGTTGGGAATTTATTCCCGAAAGATTAAAAAACAATAAAAGTACAAAGGCTAAAGATCTAAAAATAATGAATTAAAAAAATTATTAAAAAATCGAATCTTTAATGTTTTTCATGTACGTACTTCATTCTGTGTATTTGATGAGATTTCGATGTAAACTAACGCTCAGAATTAAAACTCTCACGATTTTATATACTTTTAAGCGAAATAATAATTCATAAGTGAGTGAGAATTATGACTCACCTTTCTCATCTCATCCAAATCTGTTCATAATAAAGAATGTAAACAGCTCAAGTTTTTTCATTGCAATGAATTAGTACAGTCTGAAGGAAATGATAATCTTGTATTAAATATGATGTTAATTGTCATCGAATAATCATTGTAATGTGCGGATATATTCGTCGGTTCGAATCCAGCCATTTCCAAATTTGTTCTTTTTCAGAAGTTTAGATACTTCGACTGCTTAATGTACGAGATCAAGCCATAATTGGGCATTTTGGGCAACGTTGGATTAAGGAACGGATCAGGAACTTGAAGCGTAGCGGGAGGAATAGGAACGAGAGCTACAAGATTACCTTATAATGGAATATTGTCAGAACGGACCTGAAATGTATCACGTCACGCCCACAGAAGATTGAAACGAGAGCTTGAATTTAATCGAAACCTAGATTTGAATATTAGAAGCTTGATTCTACGTCACCCATAGTGATATGAAATGTATCACTAATCAATGTAAAAAGTAAAACATGTATAAATACTAATTCTTCCGGACGGTAACGTCGACAAATAAATAATAATAATAATAATCTTAACTTCATCTATTTTATGTGGAATTTAATATTAAATTACTTAAGGAAGGAATAATCTGAAGCAAACTAAGGAAGTTATCAAAAATAATTTTGATCAGTTCAGAACTCTTAGAACGAAGCTACAAGTAGATTTTTAAAACAAGAACAAGATAAATTTTGATAAATTTTTTGATATTAAAATCCTCATAAGATGTTAAGTTGAGATTAAATGAGTATGAATAAGACATTAAATGCTTAAATGAATTATATAAGACCTCGGCGTTGTAGAATACTCATTGATTATTCATAAAAAGATGACCTTAGGGTTTGAATTCACAACCTTAGTTGATCTGATTTATTGCTTATCCCTGCGAAGGGATCGTTCACTTATGACGTCTGAAATTAACGGTCATTTTTCAAAAAAAGAACAATGGATTTTCAGAAATTTCTATTGTTTTTTCTTGCTAAATTTCCCTCCCCCCCCCCCCCCCCCCTCGGACGTCATAAGTGAACGGCCCCTAATCTGTTTAAACTTATATCCTACAAATTTTTAAGATTATGCACGTTTAACAATCAAAGCGAAGGTATCTGGAATCAACATGAACTATGGAGCTGTCCAATGGGGCTTTGTGTTTAACGGATTAAGATCAATGTCGTGGAACAGTTTAAAATGGTCAAAATTCATCAAAAGGTGGTTGATCAGTTCCGTGCTCTTGGATACCCACAAGCATTATCAAATTGTGTCAATATGTATATCTCTGCATGACTCAAATCGTAACGACGATAACTACTTCCATCAACTCTTTATCAATCCTCAATAAAAGTATTAAGTAAATCAAAGAGCATCAAAAATAAGTTCGAAATCAATTTCTTATTTTATATTTACACACTTTTTGACATCCGTGCAACCAGTAAACGATTCAATTTAATAAATCCTTAGCACATGTCATGCAGAAGATCGTCACGTGACGAAAATAATTTTAGCAATTCATTTGGAATTTTTATGTCTCAATGGTTAATGCTTGACATGCCTGGATTCTGTAAATAACAATTTGTGCATAGGATGAATATCTTTTACGATTGCGGTATTATTGGTTCCTGTTAATGTCTTCATTTATTCATGAATATTTTTTTTTGCCTTCTGAATGTCAAAAATGCCTTGAATAAATTATGCTGATTATTAAAAAAGCTTTTGAATATTTTTTTTTGAGAATTGTTGAGAATAAGAAAATTAGAATCGTGAGCTATAAAATGTTTCATTTTCAATTTTATATCAAGTGCACAAAGAATCTTTATTGTATCAAAGGTGTACGCTAATAAAATATAAGAGATTTTTTATATTAAAAGAACAACAATTGCTGATATTCTTTTGAGCATTTATGGCAGCTAGATTAAACTTTTGTTCTCATTTTGACATCACTTCTTCGATTGCTGATTTACCCTGCTTCCCCTCTAGATTCGTTAAAAACAAAATCAATCAACTTGGTCGGTTTATAACGGACAACTAGCTCCTCAATAGTATCCATAAGCTGTTGGTCTTATATAGGTTGGGAATGAGAATGCAAAATGATCAAAATGCATTGAGTCAAAAAAAACTCACCCATATAAATCCACACATTCAATTCTATTTCATCCAAACGATCTACGAGCCTTAAGTAACAACATGCGCTTTTTGCATCCATAAACAGCAATCATATAAATCCACACTTACTCCAAAATCAAATAAAAGAAAGAAAAATTGCAAGAACGAAATGAAATTCTTTTGAATTTTGCAAAACGTTTCATTTAATGTTATTGTTATGATTTTCTATAACACGGGGAATTTCTATTTCCTCTTTTATGTTTAATGCTTCTTGAAATATTATTATCTATTATATATGATGAAGGCAGATAGCATCAAGAAGGTACTTAAATAAATTATTAAAAGTGAAAAAAAACTTTGATTTTTTATGAAGTTTCGGTTGAAATTTGTCTATAAAGGAAGAAGGTACATATATATTTTGAGGCATAAGTTTGACTTTACATGGGCAGCAGCAGTCAGCAACTAAGCCTACCCTCCCAAAGAATTGTAAATAATTGATTTTAGAACTCGAACATATTGAGAATCCGTCCTTTGGACCTTCATCAACCCTTATCATGATTTGGTTAACTTTCAACCAAGATATTTAGATGTGCTCATACAGAGTGTACATGACAATACTCGACCATACTATTTTTTGTGTACTAATACATACAAACATTTTTAAAATTTTCCATTTTCAAGTTTTTTTTTAAATATCAATAAATACATCACTTTTTGACTTTAGTCAGTTACTTTAAATTATAGTAAAGCATTTGCAATACTCCTGTACCAACAAAACTTAACAGAAAGCTTAAAATTTTGCAAAACAAAAATTGAAAATTTTCTTTCATAGTGTTAGTGTTTACAGAATATTCAAATTTTGGACGGTTAAAAACTGCGATATCTTATCTCTGCGTATGAGCTCATCTTTGTATCTTGCTTTCAACAAATAATTATGTCATCCTTCACGTTTGAAACTTGCCTGGAATGAATCTGTTGTTTTAAATCCAAACGGACTAGCATCAACCTAGTTCCATAAATTAATTCATACAAAAACCACAAAAAATATTTCATCATCGCACCAAATTAAATTCAATCAGCCATAGAGTTTACACTTTTACCTTTATAGACACTAAGAGCCCGGAAAATATAAATTTTTATATCAAAATTATGTTAATAAGTGGGCGGATAAAAAATGTAAATTGACTTTATTTAAAATATCAGTGCCTATTTCAGCTGCTCTATCACACGTCAATAGCTCATAATTTATTCATTTGACTTTTGCTAGCTGACACGGCATTATCCTGGGAAAATTGCTAACCGCAAAGAAGAAAAAAAAATGGATCAACCCAGCATTCTTCCTGAGATTATGTCGCGTGTTTTAAAAAGAATTTTCCTTTTAGTTCATCCCACATGAAGCCATTAAGCGGATGGATAATGAGACGTCGAGAGTATGGGAAAAACATTAAATAATTTATGATGATGAAAGCTGTGGGATATTTTTAATAGTGATGAACTTATCTCGAAGATTATAAAATGCAATTAAGAAATTTTTCATTAAAAACCTCCGAGTAGATTTGAGCGATGCTGTTTATATCCCAAAAAAAAATGTTTGTCAACAAATTCTAACCACGTGCACACAAAAATTGTTGGCAATTTGTGCCAAAATTTATCGCCACATTATTGCATGAAAACCAATTCGATTTTCACATTTTCTACCCTGAAAAAATAGTCTACAAAAAAATAAAAGAATATTTTTGTGTTTCGATGTCGAAAACCAAAGAGAAATCAATCGTTTAGGAATAAAAATCAATTCATGACAAATTTTATATGTTAAGTTGCATAACAAATCGCCCAAACACATCTGAACGCACAGACAACAACCCCAAAAAAGAAAGAATAAGTATAAAAATTGATTTCATGATATGACTGATCAGAGCGCATAAATGTTATTTGCTGCATGTGACTGCTATCCACGATCATATACATTTTACTTTGTTACTATGAGCGTACCTATAAGAATCCTCCATTAAAGGTTGAACCAGAGGTCGAAGCCGACATGAGTTCGCTCCGGTTCGCTAAAAAACCGATTCAAATTTGAATAGATTTTTTTCTGCTGCCACTTGTGAAGTTTAACATTTTATACAAATTTACCGGTAATCGAATCGGTTTTTTAGCGAACCGGAGCGAACTCATGTCGGCTTCGACCTCTGGGTTGAACTTTGAAAGATAAAAAAATTCGAATTTTATCTTGGTTCATTCAGAACCTTATCACAGTTGCATGCCCCGCGGATTCCAAAACTTTACTGCAATCTGACATTTGTTTGTTGCTTGTCACTATAGATGTTACACATCTGTCACATGCTTGTTCACAAACGACCTGTCTAGCAACTCTATTACAGAATAGTGGTTATCTATATCCGAATGAGCCACTAGACATATTGTCTAGATAATAACTTGATGTAGGGTCGATCCAATGTCATAATCGAGTCGACCCTATGTCTACCCTAGGTCCTATTACAGAAGAGAACCATAACAAAAAAAAAATCGATAGTTTTGTTTTACTGATAAAATGACAAACTGTCAGACAAAACAGGAACAGTACAAAGTAAGCCTAATCAGAAAAACATGCTAAATAAAAGAAAATCGGATTGCATTGCACTTGCTGCACAATAAAATATTTTTATGTATGTCGCAATATGTTTCGCGCAATTGAAATGATCAACTCGAGAAAATGTGTTACTGAACTCTCAGCCTTTTTAGAACGAAATAAAAACGATTAGGATGTCAGGGGATAGGGAGG